AAATATGTCCCCAGTGTCACAGGTATTTGTCGTTGTCATTTATCATGTAGTTACTTATGCATGCCTTACTAAATTATGCCTTGGGTTAACTCATTCTTTCTTAGGTTAAAAGAAGATGGTACTGGAAGTGCTTATGATAAGGAGTCAATGGCAATTATCAAGCTCAATAACACAACGGTCTTGTACTTAAAGGAAGTAACAAAGTTTTTGGCATTAGTTTGCATTCTTAGAGAAGAAAGTTTTGAGCGCAAAGGTAAGAGCCTTCCCTGTTTGAATGGCTTTTGTCTAATGATTTTTACCAACTATAAAATATTAACATTGCCTTACAAGTCACCTTAATTTTGTAAAATTTAATTTATTTAATTTCATCTGGGGGTAATTTTCTCCCTTCATAGAGCTAAAATGATCTTATTTTTATTCTTGTGAATCATTGCTTGAATGCTGTCCCCCTGTTGAAATGACTCGTGTAGCTAATGAGGCCTGTGTCACTACCATCTGCTATAGTGCAGTCATTTGAATGGAGTAATGCTTATTTGTTCTGCTTGACAGGCTGCTGTGTTGTGATAGCCATATTCTCTATTTCTTGTGTTGCGCTACAGCAACCTTTTTAACATAGGACTGAAGAAATCAGCAGTGGCAGGCTAGTACAGTGGTAGGAACACCTAGCAAAGGATTTAATGTGTTGCAAGTTTAACCAGCTATACAGTTGCTTGGACTTGTAGCAGACAATTGGTATGAGTGGTCTTGCATATATTATGGGGTAGAAATGAAAGAATAAACCCTAATTTTTAAGTACTTGACTTAGATTGTGATGGTGTTTACCTTAGCATTTACAGACTGTTCAAAAGAAGAAAAGCAGATACGTTTTAATAACTGTACTGTACTTAGAATCATTCAGGTTGGAAAAGACCTCTAAGATCCTCTAGTGGAACCTTTCAACTTTTAACCTAGTACTGACTCCAGTTTTACATGATCTCAGAAGTTTTACCACAGTTAGGATATGCATTGATGACACCATCAGAGTGCAAGATAATGTTGAATGTTACCTGCTCTTTAATTATGTATACACCTTGTGTTCAAAATGAGTACCTGCTTTCTAAAAACAGACAGTCTAAACAAATATTGGCACTAGAGTAAAAACTTAACTGTTAAATTTTCTGAATCCACATTTATACTGAATCAAGTAACAAAATAGCTGTGTATTGAATGAAACATACTGATTTTGAAGGTTTGACTACATACATGTGGCAAGCTGAGCACAGTTTTTCCTCTCCCCGCCTCTCCTTGACAGGTCTGATAGACTACAATTTCCATTGCTTCCGCAAAGCCATTCATGAGGTCTTTGAAGTAGGTGTTGCCTCCCACAGAATCTGCAACCATCAAGCAAGCACCTCGAATATGAAAGCAGTGACTCACAATGGCACACCTAGGAATGCAGTCTAGAGGGAAACTAAAGACATTGGATAGACTTGTCAGCTCTTCAGTCCAAAGATTTGTGGAACAAGAGAAGAGTAGTCTGAAAGCCTGAAGTATGTTTCACAGGAGAAGAGCGGCGCTAACTGTGGCACAGCAGCTTGTAACTCATGTCCGACAACTGAAACTACTGTAAAAATACTTTGAGGCCAGTGGAGTTAGAAATGTCAGTTTGAAACCACCTTTATTGCAAGTGCAGTGGTATTTCAGTTTGGAGTCCTGTTTTAACAGTCTGTCTATGACTGATTGCCCGGTCAAAACTTAAAAATGAGAGAGTTGAGTTTAATGTGAAACATCGAACAGTCACTTGCTCAACGTTTTTTTTAAATTATTCTGTAGAATGTCCAGTTTTGCTTAAGTTTAACCTCTTATCATGCAAAGCATTGGTGGTGTTAATACTTAAGCTCGTGAAAGTCACGCTTTCTGTTTTGTGAGGCTGGTCTCACAAATCATTCCATAAAGTTCTTGCTTTCCCCAGTTTGCTCAGAGTATCCTTGTGAATTCTGTACTTGTGAAGTGGACACAAGGTAGAGCTCTGTTCTAGTGACTCGATGTTTGCTTGGAGAACTGAGCTGGAGTTTTGTTTTGAGAGATCATGATACTTTGCTTTCAGACAACACTTCTTGTTACGCCCGCTTTGATGGAAGGGAAGTGTTAAAAACCAGGAATAAACTACCTGCTCTTTTTTGCTAAAACATGGATGTCATAAATCTGTGTGATTAATCCTATTCACAAAACAATTGCATGGCTAACTAAACTGAGATGTCTGCCATCTGTTGGAATATAGCAACCAGTTTCAGCCATTTCCAAATGAAGAAACGATCATATTACTGGCTTGTGACGGTAGATCTCTCCTTACCCTCTGACTGTAATCAAGACAATTTTTAGGAAACTATCTGAAGGTGTTATCCTTGAATAGTAATTAAATATTGGAGTGCCACAACCTAATAATAATAATGGACGTTTGAAGCGTGTTGATTCTGTATTGTGGCAAACAGCTTCTTGTTTGTTGCCATGCAATCTGAACAGAATTGCGTGTATTCTGATTTTGTGAATGCTGGCCGTCATATTATGGGAAGTGTATCTGAATAGTTTTCATCTAATTTATTGGTAATATTGCTGCAGATGTCATATTGTACATCAGCCTTGTTATGCAGTAAGCTCAGCTATTGGCCCATAAAGATCTTGCCACTCTTTGCCTATCCCTATGTGTGTATAGGTGTTCCGAAGCCACTGGACCAATTGACTATCCAAGTGCCACTATAAAGGTTTCTACAAGAAGGTCTGTAACCGTAAAAGATCTCTGTGACTGATGTATTTATGTGGTCAGACATAACCACAAGATTGCTTATGTGCTTATAGAATTGATTTTTATTGAACTATGTAAAAATTAACATTCATGCATTTACATTAGGGTGTATGCACATACTATGTAAATGTTTTTCCTTTGATTTAAAGCTGTTGTATGATACTCTATACATAAAGGATCTGCTCCAAAAGTTACTCAAGTCAGTAGGAGACTTGGGAATTCAAATGCTTTAGTTCCCGTCTCTGTTGGCAGTTGTCATTCTGAACCTAGGCTTAGCCCCTTTCTGGTAATGGAACTGCAGGGTTGTTTTTTTAAGGATGTGCTGTGGGCTTGTAAGATTGGGTTTTTGTGGCTTGCAAGCTCTACAACAGTGTTCAGGTACGCAAGGTGAGAGGAGAATAGGCAATATCACAGGAAGTAACAAGTCATTCCCATTTTTGTAGTGAGTTTTCCATGTTCAGAGTATGTGTTCCTCTCTGTCTTCATTCTACATGATTCTGTGCTAATAAAATGAAAAAAGATCAAACCATGGCACTATTGTTTCTGTTGGAGGGTGAGACACTTCAACAAAAGTCTAATAAAATTGGCCTATATGATTAAGCGAATAATGCCATGCTATCTTCATTATTTTTTTTTAATTTGAATATTATCTTCCCATGTGAGATTTTAAAAAATCTAGTCAACCTTGGCTTTCCTCTCAATTTAAAGCTGACTCTTTATTGAATACTCAGTATTTGGAAGATAACTCTAGACTGTAAAGGCATGTAAGTGATAAAGAAGCTTGTTCTCTTACTTTGATTAATGATGAGCCTTAGGCTGCATTATGAAGTTCTGCTTTCTAGTGTGCCGTTTTTGTTGTTTTTCAGTTTTCTATTGCATTTATGTGTGACTATTATTATTTTTGCTCTTAATTATCTTATTCTTGAATGATTGCATTTACTAAAAGTTAATGATAGCTTCTCAAAACAGAACATCAATATACTTGCATGATTACTGAACATTATTAGCTTCAGAAGTTAAATTCATCTCTGTTAAGGATCAAGATCTTTACTGAAACTAGTCTTAATTTTCTTTCTAATACATTAATCAATTTAAGTCAAATGCTGCTATGCAAATAAGAGTGTACCTTACCCTGTTGCTGCCCTAGCAAGGCAGTTCTCAGATTTTGCTGAGATCTCTGTGGTCATGGAGGGGAAGGACAGGAGCTTTGTCTTTTCTTCCTCCTGCAGACACCTGTGTCCACTTTGCTGACCTGCTGTAGGTGGAGATACCATTAGAGAAAAGGGAAGGTAATATGACAGCCTCTCCAATAATGGAGGTCTGAAATTGTAAAGGAGGTCATTGAGTAGTGCTTCATCTTTTTTTAATCTCTGAATCTAGTCTTTTTTTTTTTTTTTTTAAAACTAATACCTGAGTACGTGCACTTCTAAGGAGGAAGAAAAAGGGGTAGAAGGGGAGCAGCCTGCAAGAAGGAATGAGATATTCTTTCTTTTGAAGAGTAGGGCAGTCTCTGTGAGCTGCCCTCAAAACTGAGGAACCTGGCACTGCTGAAGGCCTTCGATGGCTGTAGCAGCAGAGGGGCCGATGGCATAGCAGTTGGATCAGTAAAGGAGCCCACAGTTCCCTCACTATCTGGCAAACCACACGTTTCTGACTGTGGTCCCACATGGCTCTTTAAGGCCTCAGAGACTGCTCGCCAGGTGCCGAGCAATCCCACTGCAACCTTGTCGTTTTTAGTTGCAGAGTCCCAAACCTTGACATCAATTTGGTCCCATATTTCAGGATCATAAACTGTCTGATTGTTAATAAGGAGAATAAGCTGTAAGGTTACCACGACAGTCTTTGTTCTAAGGACGTATGATTCCCCAGCGAGGGGCAGCTGTGTGCTAGGTCCGCTTCTCTCAGCTTGAGCTTCTTCCCAGCTCCAGTGCCCATTTGCAGCGCATTTCAGTACAAGCTTCTCTGAGCAGTTTGCTGAGTTTGGCCGAACCTATCTTCATGAGGCAATCAATGTGCCTGCTCCCGTCCTGGTCTCCGTTCTGCTAGCCTGTTCCTTTTCATTCCTTCTTTATTGATGACATAACTTCATCGTGTTGCTTTTCTTTTTTATCTTGAAGGCAGGCTCCCCTCTTATAACCTTCTCCCACAACAGTTCTTTTCAAAACAACTTTTCATTGGTCAAACAACTTTGCATATAACAGCAACAGCAAACACCCAGAAACTTCCATGCCTTCATGGCTGGAGAACAAGCAACCCGAGACTGCTTGGAGTCTCCTGAATCACCCTTCTTTGTTCCGTCTAAACTCTTTTACATTCCTGATGGCCTCATCGTTAAGAATCTGATGTTCTCACCAACCACGGGGCTTGCCCACCCCCATGGCCCATCTCCTTCTTCATTAATATCAACCATCTTCTCGACATGAATTACCACTATATATATAACAAGGGCAAGGCCAACCGCGGGCAGAGGTTCAAAACTTTAAGCTCGTCTCTCGCTGCTGTCTTTAAGACCGAAGTCGTCCGTCACTCAGAACGAGTGCCCTTTCCCTCAGCCCTTCCCGCCCTCCCCCTGCCTGAGGTGCGGCCGGGGCTGGCCGCCGCCTCACCCCACGCTGAGGCGAGAAGATGCCCGGGGGCTCCGGTGCTGCTGTCCTCGCCCGTGGTTTCCTCACCAGCTGTGACCTGAGGTGCTGAGCAGCCATGGCTGGGCCCGGCCTTCTCCTGAGGTGACCGCCCCAGTCGGCAGGGGGTAAGTTGTGCTAAAGGCCCTGGCGCAGGGGAGAGGCGGGAGCTGGCCATTTTGTCGCTCGTTCCCCTCATGGCCCGCGGCGGGGAAGTGGTGGCGCACATCGCCTGAGGAGAAATTGTGCCCAGCAGCCTTCAGGCGCTGATTGTCGACGCCTGGTGGATGTGCACTGACCTGCTGAAGGCTTAGAACCTCAGAACCTGTCATATGGGCCTTGCTGTGTGTGATGTGATGGACTTTGGGACATGTTCCTAAGTCTGAGTACGTACTGTGTGGCACATGTGTGTCTACGGGCTTTTCTCGTTTATAAAAGACTTTGAGTTCTCTTTAGTGCTGAACAGCTCTTCTTAGCTTTGAGTACCTACTCGCAGTAGATGGCACCCTTGTAACGTGTCTACAAGAAGTTTTTCAGAAATGTTTCCTAAAGCCATCTTCGCTTGCTGTCTGAAGCACACCTTCAAGGGATGAGCAGATGTCCAGTCACTGCTGCACGGTAAGACGAGTTCTGAGGTATTTAGAGGTTTCCTTGAAGACTAAGTTAACCTTTAAATAAGAGCAGCTGAGGCCAGTTTTCCTCAAAACTGAGAGAAGTGTTCTGTAGGAAGTGGTTTTGATAGTCTGTTTTTTTTCAGTGCTGGAGTGTTGTTTTTTTGGCTCAATGTTTGGTAAAAAATATTGTTTGGATATTTATTTTGTTTGGCTTTTGTCCTTCTGTCAGAAGTAAACTTTTTTGTTGTTGTTTTTTGCCCCAAAACAGTCACGTTAGGATATTTTCCTTTGTATTATAAACACCAAGTGTATTTTCCATGCTTTAAAACTATTGTCACGTTTCCTTATTTTCAGTGTGTCTTTTCATCTAATTTTTCTGGTCTTAATTTCTGAACTCCTGTCCCCTACACATGAACAGGAAAGAATTACTGTTTTCCTCATTTTTCATTAACATTAAATTAACACTAGCTCGTTTTCTGGGTATGCTTTGGAAGGCGTGTAAAGGTGGTGCTAGTGAGCATCTGTTGTCTCCAGGTGCACAACTTCATTAATGGCACTCGTTAAAATAGTTGATCTTGTAAAAATAGAAGGGAGAGCTATATCACAGAAGAGTCTTGGCATGATTTTATTAATTGGTTCTTATCAATTTTTGTCAGGCAAGTACTAATTTTGTATTATTTCTTCAGTGAATCTAGGGGGAATCCCAAAAACATGTTCATTGATGACAAACTTGGTTTGAGTAAAAGTATTCTCCTTAAAAAAAAATATCCCCCCCATCCTAGTTTTGTCTTTTAGGTGAAAACACTGCGCATCACAGGTACAGGCCATGCCAAGCAGCCAGTTGTTAGTTGTCCACTGATGCAGGCTTCAATTCGACAGCTAGTGTGCACAGCTGTACCTTGTTACTTGCCTCTCACTTGAGGGGAGTGCTTGGCACAGCTTCCAGTGTGAGCTTGTGGTCTTTTTACTGACAGAGCTTACGCAGGTTTTGTTTCCCTTTGCTCTTGTAAGAGATTATTGTCTTCAGAACAGTGTTACAGCTTGGAATGTAATAGCACCTAGTGCACGTAAATAGGTTCTTTAATATCTTTTCTGTTGTCATTTTTATTACTGACCTTTTTACAGCATAAACACGGAAGTCTATAGAAATACAACTCCAGCTAGTATTAATAAATCAGTCCAAGCTAAGCCAAACCAATCTATAACAGTTTATTTTTTATTTTTTCCAGTTACAGAAAACACAGGTTCAGGGCTTACAAAGCCTCCCTGAAGACTTGCTTGCTGTTTTCTCAGTTTTATTGATGGCAAAGGTAGGATGGTGGGTCATGTCCTCTGGATAACTGAGGCTGCAGTCAGTGAATAGTACCAGGTATTTGTTATGAAGTGACGAAATGAGGCTTCTTAGTTAGCTTTTATGAACTACTGATTTGTCTTTGTTAGCAGGGAATAAGACCATATTTGCTAGCCTCATGGATGTGATGGAGGATGAAAGATTGTTCTGGCTGTCTGTTTCTGTCCTTTATGTACGTTTTATATTAGAATAGTGTTTCCCTGCCTGCTTTTCTTACCTTAGATAATACCATTTTTTTCACCAATCAACTAGGTAAAGAAGAACTAATTATTCTGATTTACCTTTCAGACACCTGGTGAGGCAAGTGAAGAAAAGCAGTCAGGGACCATTCATAAGGAAAAGAACCAATTAAAATCAATCTGTGTTTAAGCAGGAGATTAGAAAAATGCTGGAGGTTACAACTGAGGCATTTGAAGAGTAGAGCATTTGTAAGGTCACCACTAAAGAATCTGAATTGTTCCTTTTGTGGAGATTTTATTGTCAAGGCAAAATAGACAATATTCCAAAATGCAGGAAAAAAGCTCAGCTTCAGGAGATAAACATATAAATTTTTTTGTCTTTTTAAACTAGACCTAGAATTAATACAGCATAATACAATTATATATTAATATAATTCATATTTACTTCTAGCAACTACAAATACCTAAAGTTAACCAGTTAACACTTTGCCTTCATAATGGGATCATCTGGAGATGAGTTACCCACTCCTCTGAAGTATGTTGCTATCTGAAGGTAGGATCTTCTTCATTTAAGATGTGGAATATGTGTAAGTAGCCATTGATTCTTTCATATTTTTCTTTCCTACCGTGACAGGAGAAGCAGTTCCAGGCTGTCCACATCTTGCTTCTGTCTTTTTTTTTTTTTTTTTCCAGGATGGAGTTTGTGGTGTTGTTGTTCCCTTCTTTTTCCCTTCAATGTCTTTCATTCTGCTAACCGCTTTTTCTTTATCTGAAATCAGTAGGGAGAAGGAAAAGAAGAAACATCTCCATTAATAAGCCTGTATAATTGTACATGTTTTTGAGAGACTGGTAATTTTGGTTATCACTGAAAGCAAGGAGGAAAAAAATCTTGCTTCTCAACAGCCACGTTCACTCTTCAAAAATTCTGTGAGCTGCTTAAACCATGTGTCACACTTCATATCTGCAGTGTGTCAGGGCTAACTTTTGTCATGTGTCATGTACCTGTTCGCTGGAACTCACTGGGATAAAAACATGCTCCCAGACTGATAGTGCACATTGTTCAGAGACATCTTCTGAGCTGCTGCAGTCACTGGTCAGGTTTTGAAATACCATTTGAAGATCAGCCAGGTGCTAGGCAAGACATTTTTTGACCTAGAAAATGATCTGATGTGCAGTTGCCATCTTTCTTTCCTTTTTTTTTTTTTTTTAATGTGGTATTTGGTACAAATATTGATGTTAATGTCTTACGGAAAATGGCACTGTGTAGAGTAGGGGCTATATTACAACTTTGAACTAAGGAGTGATGAACAGAAGTGTCACCTTTGTTCAGGATTACCTAAACATTAGACAATTATCTTGAGAGCGTGATGGCCTGAGCTTTTAATTTACATTGATTGTACATGATTTTTAAAATACTGTTCAAAGACTGATAAGAGATTTAAAAAAAAGTACCAGAAGAATACCTAAAACAGTCCTCTTTAAATATATATATATTTTTCTGAACTAAAAATAATAATGGGCCGCCTCTCTTTCTCTTGTCATCCTGAGTACAAGGTATACCCTTTATCAGATTGTCTGTTGAAGGCATGACTCTGTAGCAACCTTTCACTTTCTGAGAGATAAAACCCCTACCTTTTATGGTTCCTGAGGGAGTTTAGCTTCTTCCTATTAAAAATGAATAATAAAATTCAAAGCTTTCATCATAATGGGGTTAGGAAGGAGGTGTTTCGCTTTTTATAGCTGTACCAATGATCGAAAAGCGAGTTGAAACCATCGCAAAATTAGGGAAGAGGTCATCATTAGAAGGCAAGTGAAAAGAAGTTTTATAAAAGCACTTTTGGATTTAATTCAAAGATTATTTCTTGCTGGTGTCAGTAAGCAGGCCATCCGCATTTCGTGTCAGAAATGAAACAAAGGGATGGTGTGAAATCTCCAGAAATGTAGGGGAAGAGATACTTCAGCAAGAACAAGCCCTCTGTAGATGTTCCCAGGATCAGTATACGGTATGATGAATACCTCTCCCTCTGCCCTTAGTTCCTAAATGACAACTCAATAGCTGTATTCCATATTGTGGAAACGGCAAGAGAAGTGAGAGAATGTTGTATACATTGGTCTCTATGCAGTGAAAAATATGGCAGGTACTTGCAGTAGGCTTAAAAGACAGCCTGCAGTAGTCACAGCGGGCATGCAGTGTTCTGAACAGTTAGATCTCTGTTAGAACAGAAAATGAGACAAAAAAAAAAAAAGGGAGACTGGTCTGGATAGAGCCAAGAGCACTGCCGATTATTTCACTATGCACCTTTCTCCACCCTGGTCTCTAGATCCAAATCAAAACTCTAGAAAGATTTTTTCTCTACTTTTCAAATAATAATTCTGTCTTCCTATGCATTTTTAATTTGTAATACCTGTTCCAAATCAGCTGTGCTAACAGCTGCGTTAAACTTTCCCACTGTCAGGAACTGATCTGAGTAAACAGTAAGGATTAGCCAGAATCCTTTCACAGGGGGACTATAATCTCCAAATATATCTATTTCTCTAATATACCAAAAAAACCCCACCAAAGAAACACCAAAAAACTGTTTCAACTTGGAACTCCCCCCTCCTATGACTTACGGTGATGGTTTGTAGAATTTATCAGTAATGAGCTGCTTAAGGCATAATGGCCATAAATGCTGTTTTATGATCATGGAGCAAGAAAGCTCGCTGCTGGTTTAGCTGCTGCTTTGTGTTGCATTTTGCTCTGCGCCAGAACCTGTACTGAAGAAGAAGGAAATGCTGAATACTGTAATATAGTTAAGGAGCTAAGTAGCAGTGACATCTTGGTCCCTAATTACATATCTGTGATACTGATTTTTTGAATTGTGTGTTACATAGTAGTAAACAGTCTGCTTTTATAAAAATCTGTGCTTTATGTAGAAATTATCATCCTAAGAGGAGAAAATTGTCACTTTTTGGTTTCTGGATTATTCTGGTAGTCAGGGTGAAATACCAAGTAAAAATGAACTACCTGGTGTTTGCAGTGAATTGATTGTTCAGTGTTCCCTTGTGATTTAAGGGTCTGCCTTTTTTGCCCTCTAGATGGCTGTCTTGTTCTCTTATAAAGAACTCATTACCCAAAGAGTCTAGCAGAGCTGGAAGAGAAAGTTTTTAAATCGTCACAGTTTTTAAATGTTTACATATTCACAACGTGTTTATGAGCAAAAATGTCGGGTAGGGAGGACTATATGACTGAAAACCTGCTGTGAACAACTGTGAGGTGATGTCTTCTGCTGCTGTGCTGGAGGAGAATAAGTACTAACGTGTTGGGAAGCACTGAAAATATTATCTAGTACATTTTTCATGAAATCAAAAAAACTGTTAATTTATCGTGGGAAGAAAAATTCCCTTGTGGCCACAGCTGTAGTAGTATTTTCCCTTCTACTTAATTCTATAGGAATTTTGCTTAGTTTAAAAACCTCTTGAAAAACCTTTTGACTGTAGCCAGAAGTGGGTGTGGGCTAAACATACTGAGGGAGTGTTCTTGCAGCATTTGTAATTTATCATGACTGTCTTATTCTTACTTTTTTTTCTTTTCAAAAGACTTCTGCCTTCAACTTGAAAACTTTTATTTAGATGAAGTAAGTCTTCAGAGGAAACTCATGTAGAGGATTATCTTTAAGGGGACTGTTGTGAATTAATTCACAGATGAGTAACTCTTTCAGACTCTTGATATAAGGAGAGCCACAATGCAAAAATCTCTTTAGTTTATGAGTATTGATGTTTAAAAAAATAAATCCCCCTCCAATAAAACACTAATCGTATGTTCATTTTGTCTATTTTAATCATTTTTACAACATAAGAGTTTCCTGAGTATTAATGACTGCTCATGACACTGTTTTAGGGGGGACAGTATTTGTAGTTAAGTGCCATGTCACAGCCATGCTCTGATTTATTATGTAAGTTTTTAATTTTATGTAATTTGGTAAAAACTGTGATCTTTTTTTTTTTTTTTTCTGGTATTTGCATTTTGAAGCATGCATTGGGTTGCTCTTACAGTTATATGTGATGCTTATGGCTGAGATTCTAAACAGTGACTCCCCGAATCCAACTTCGTGGGATGTGTAAAATGGCTGACCTTGTGCATTCTTATTCCAATGCATTTTTGAGTACCCAAATTGTTACAAGTCAGGCCTTTAACCAGATTTGTCACTATAACTTCTTGTAATTCATACAGTTGATACTATACAATAGCTTAAGAAAACCAAATCTAAAGAAATGATCAATCAGTGGTGTAGAGTAAAAACTTTCTGAGGCTTTCAGTTTATACGTAGGAAAATTAAAAATTTTGTTTTTTGAAGTCCTTCATTTGTGTGATCAGATATAACTGCTTAGCACTGGAAAGAGCAAGTCAAGTGTTTGTTGATCAACTGGCACCTATTTTTATTCACAAGTAAGTCCACATAGAACGTGACCTTGGTATCTGATCTATTTAAGTACAGAGAGGTAGAAGGATCTACTGTTTTCTGAATTGTAATGAAGCAGTTTAATTTTTGCAGCGTTCCCTGTGTTTCTAAAAGTCATTATATCACTTTTTCCCTTTCAGAATTACTGAAACCGGTGTTTTCTCATTAAGTGGCGTACTGAACAAGCAGTGCTTCTGACTGCAGCACTGATCTTACGGTGTTTAGAAACAACTGTGTAGCTAATTGCTTTTAAAGACAGTCGTTAAGAGATGATGACTTATATGATTTAGCATTGATTAAAATAATTGCTTTCTGGAAAGAATCTCTTGTCTAATAAGTTGATGCTTCTGAAGGGCAGATGTTAAGATTATTAAGCATCCTTCTGTCATGAAGAAAGGTGCTGGTTTCCTTAAGTGGCGATAATTAACACATTGGGATAGTAACTTTGGTTAGGAGGTGACTAGCTTAATCTGCTTCTACTGCTTACAGCAGGTCATAATGTTATAGATAAGCAGTTATGCTTACTCCATGATTAAGGATGAATCATGTTTGAAAATCATGATGTAAAGCATTCAGTGATCTTATCAGTCATTCATAATAACTCCCATGTCATGCAGACTTTTTATGGAAAAGAGCAAAGTAATTGGTATCCGTCACATGCACTTGTGTTAAGATCACAATTTCCATGACAGTACTGCGCTTTAATAGAGTCTGTCAACTTAGCTTAGGCTGTAATGGCTCACAGCACATCAGTCTTAAAGAATACATGAATTTATTATTGAATAAGTTAACTACAGTTTTACAGAGAATTGTGCTGCAGAACTCTCTTAGGGTCAAAAAGTTAAATATAAGAGAAATGCAGTGCAATTAGGCCACACAGCTTCTCAAATAGTAGGATGAGGATAAATGGTCAGTTCATTTAATGAGAAACAAACAGACAAAAACACTAAAAGACACCCCCCCCCTTTCTGGTGTTAGGAATGTAGACAAGAAGTCTACATTTCACTTTATTACATTATGTGAATTTATTTAAATTAGGCAGTCTTGAAAATTCTGTGTATTTCCAACTAAGTAGATGGCTTGGCAACATTTTTCAAAAGCTTTGAAGCCT